TTGAGAGTTGTTAATGCTGTAGTCAGATCCATAAGTGAGCCGCTTCAGACGACTGTATAACCACTTAGCCATATTGTAAGTGGGTGATCCGATAAGTGGCACTATAATCCTCAGGGGGACATCCACTTTGTGCACTTTCGGGAGGCCGTATATATATATATATATATATATATATATATATAACTTGTCAGTTACGCCGGTCGCTTATCATCCGACCTCCAAAACAAGATTTCAGACGCCTTCGTGCAACCTAGTAAACCTGTCTTTCCACAGTCCCATGCCATCACCTCTTCCGGGAGTTTGATGGTTTCTACTTAATTTAAATTTTTGAAACTGCGTCCACTGTCTCCGAAGTGGAAAGTTGTTTCTGGTGAAGAGTCCACTAATACCATGTCCTTCCACCTTCCGGATTTCAGAATGACGAGCCGGTCGGTGAGGCGCTGGACCATTCCATACATTTGTAAAATGCACGGCGGGTATCGTGCATACAAAACCGATCTGAGGAATCTGCGTTTGCGAATTACCTACATCACTTTGGGCCTGATCATGACACTGGTTATTACAATCTATATGAAAGAGGTAATCATGCACTCCTTCCTGTCCTTGAAGTTGTTTTGAAATGGCGCGGTAATTTACATGAATAAGGACTCCTAACCGTGCTGATTTTTTCTCGTCCACATTCGCTCTCTTCTTCCGCTTAACCTACTCCAGTTCCTCAATTTGCTTTGTCTCAGCACCTCTTCCTCTAATTTTATCTTAAATCTTTTCTTCCCCTTCTTCTTCTTATTCTTCTTCTCCACCACCTTTTCTCCTCTTGTTTTTGAAACTGCTGCAAAGCGAATAAGGAAAACAAATTTACTTATAATCTTTTCACAAAACACGCTCGAGAGATTAACCGCACGGACGTGTCTGGGCTTATTAAAAAAAGTGTTCTAACTCCTCAAAACCTGGATTGGAGCCTGGCTGAAAAATGGGAACCTTTCCTCCTCCTCCCCCCCCTAATCGTCCTCCTCCTCCACCACCAGCGACACCACCACCAGCGACACCACCACCACCACCACCTCATCCTCATTTCCTCTGTCGTCCTCCTTCGAAACTGCCGCAAAGGAAATGAAAGAAATTAATTTGTACGTACTCTTTTAATAAGACATATCACATCTATCATCTCTGCTTGATCAAAAAAGTGTTCTTGCTCTTCCTAGTCCACATTACTGCATGTCTGAATAATAGGAATCAGTCAGGACGTTAGACGATGAGTGAAGCCGGAAGTGTGATTCTGCAAAATTTCCGATTGGGTTTCCTGGGGTCCGTAGCAAAGCGTTTACCGAATGATTTATTTTCCAACAATGGCAACATCTTTTCAGTGCAGTCTTTTATGTCCACAGTCTCTACTGAGCTACCTTTATCCGTGGGGAAAATGTTGATATTTTTACCAGTTGTTTAAGGTCTTTAAGTGCTTTTCCTTCTCCATGTGAAAGCGCGGTCTATACTACGCCAGTCTGCCACCATTATAAATTAATTTATTCGCAAGGCGCTGTCCCTGCACCCACCACGGGGAGGGATATCATCGTTGCCGTGACCGAAATGTCGTAGTGGAATCGGATTCTGGGAACTTTAGGGACTACATATTACAGTATTGAAGGGTTCTGCAGGGAAGAGACAGTTTTCAATAGATATTGCCAAATTCCTGGGACAGATTTGGTCAACCAACTTAAAGATCTGCGGACTCCCTGCAATCCACGAAACCAACTTTTCACTGGCACCGATAGCATGAGAAGAAGAAGATGCGATAGAATCCGAAACCTCGAACCAATAAACCTATTGTTCCAGTGGCCGCATCATAATCATCATCATCATCATCATAATCATCATCATCATCATCATCATCATCATCATCATCATCATCATCATCATCATCATCATCATCATCATCATCATCATCATCATCATCATCATCATCATCATCATCATCATCATCTTCTTCTTCTTCTTCTTCTTCTTCTTCTTCTCCCTGTTCTTCTTTTGAACTGCTTCCTGGAACTCGCCTGCACTTCTATTCACTTACAAAGAACTCTGAAACATCGGTTGGGAACGCTACAGAGGTTCGAAACAGACTACACGGAACTATAATTACAGCGGATGGGATAATAGCATCCTCTGCTGTTTCCCCCATGCAAGATTTGTCAAAACGGTGTACGGCCCTCCATCGGTCATACTACACCCATATTCCTGCGACTGGTTCGTATAAACTCTTATAACACTGTCTAGAATGTTAGTTTTCATTTGCCAAAAAACTGTTAACAAATTAGGTGAACCCTTCTGGGACCACCTATCTTCGTCTGCCTCTATCTCGGTGGGGCGTAGTCTTGCTCCTAGAACGTGCCACGCGGTAGATGTGCTGAACCAACATGGAGGTCCACATCGGATTCCGGCAGGCGCTAGCGGGCTTGCACATCCATAACGAATGTCGGAACTCGGGATTCTGTGGCAAACCCAGTTACAGGTTCAGGCCGTGCCGATCGGGATCCCTGCTGCCTCCCCCCCTTTGTTCTTGTAGTTTAGAATACTGGCCAGTATGCGGTATGGACCAGGGAGGTGTGATAGTACGCCAAGGTGCACACTTACGTCGTGTCAGCCACCTGCGCCCTCTCAAGCCTCCGGTCTTCCTGACACTGGACCCGAGTGGGGAAGGAGGATGGGGTGCGAGAGATGCTGTGCAAGTCTGTTATCACTTTAAACTACTTCATGCGTCAGTCACTCCCTTTGCTGTCGCCTTGCTGTGCGGCACACAGTGGACACCGTCCAAACCGACGGTCGAACTGCTGGGAGGTAATCACCGCACCGTTTTTCGCTTTCCCTTGTCCGAGAACCAGTTAGCCGGAAAAATAGACTGAGGGTCCCCACTTGGTCCAGACTTTGCTGATGTTAACCCTAAACCCAGTCGCCTAGAGCGTCACGTCTAACATCCATTATGACACCAGATTTCAAACCCTGGTCGAGTTGTCCAGTGTATGAAAGTCAAGTTGGTTGCTGAGGGTAATTCGGGTAGGTATAGCTTACTGCCACCTAACTACGTCGCCTAACGCATGCAGAAACATGTCAGAGGAGAAACTTCTTCTCCACCAAGAGTCCTGCTATTGAAGAAGGAGACACGATCGCTGGGACAAGAGCTTTATTAGCCTTACGTTTCGGATTCCTGCTCGAACCCATCATCAGAGACAAAAAAGTAGATACGGGTGGTTCATGCACAAGGGTCTGCAGTATTTATAGGATGGAATTGCCAAGCTACCGCATACCTATGAATATTCACGGCTCACCCCTGCATCAGGGATCGTTGCACGTGGTTTGATGACTGTTTGATGGCCGATATTCGCGCCGTTTATTGTTGCAATTTCATCACGTGCGTTGGATGTTGGTGTGATGATTGCTCGACCATCTGACGCACCGACCCTGGTGTTGGGGAAAGTGTTCACTTGTGCGCTCCCGTGTGGTTAATTACTCCGCCTAGGCGAGGTCTCAGCACGAAGTATGGAAGGGGAAGTTCATTGCACTTCTGAATTGACTGGGGACCAGCAAACCATGATTCAAGTAGCTCACGCGGTTGTCACCTCTTGCGAGAATTTCGGCCCCGTCGAATTTGAATGTGTGGCCGGATCTCGTCGTGTGAGCTGCAATTTGAGAACTGGCATCATTTCTCCGCACCGCTGCAGCCTGCTCGGCCATTCGCGTTCAGAGCCGTCTTCCGGTTTCTCCGACGAAGTTGCTTTGTCCGCAACTGCACCAGATCCGATAAACGACTCCAGACGTTTCTTGCCATGGCAGCGGGTCTTTTGGTTTCATTACCTGACGGCTGATGGTTGCCTCCGGTCTGTGTGCAACTCCAACCCCATGTGGTGCAAGAAGGCGGCCGACAGCTTCCGAAAAGTTCTTGACATACGGAAGCGCTCGCCGAAATTTGGTGTCCTTGCGATTAGGCCTTTCGTCCCTTTTGCGTATGCACTAGTTGACGAAGTTGCGCGGGTTGCCATTGGCTTTGAAGACCTGTTGGAGGTATTGTAATTCGGCAATCTTGTCTTCCGGCTCACTGCAGTGCGTTCGACACGCCGATAGAGCGTCCTTACACAACTGTGTTTGTAGCTGATTGGGTGGTTACTGTTGAAGTTCAGTACTTGCATCGTATTTGTCGCATCGTATTTTGTCCTAGTAGTCATGCTATTTTGTCTCGTCTCGTCGCTGACACTTCTAAACGCAGAATGCTAGTTTCCAAGGCGTCAGGCCTCAGCCTTTTACTGAATATGGGCAGCTTTTTATTCCAAGTCTTCTGCACATCTTCGCAGGACTTTAAGCTGAAGCTCCGGGGAATTCATCTGACGCTGGTCGGCTCCGTGTCAGGCAACATCGTGCTGACCCTCTTTTGGTCACGACTCTCCCGGTCCGGTTACCTGATTGGCTGTTTTGGCAGCGCAGTCGCCGCCATGGCCGCCTGGCTAGGCACGGAGTCCGCACTTTACGAAAGCGATTCTGAGGAATCACGTGAGTGACAAATGAGATACTTTTTTGCCTTATTCTAGTCGTTCTTGCGTGTTAGATGCTGGATGACCTATGGAGCAAGGGAGGGGACCCATTTTCGGGCAGATTTCAAATTCCCCCCACTGGAGTTTCTTTCTGGAAGGGTGATTTGGGCTGTTCAGATTGGTAAAGTGGACAGTTCCAGGTTGATTATTTGAAGAAGATGTGCTCACCGGAACAGGTTTATTTAGATGCTGACGTTTCGAAGAGCTTGGTCGGCTCTCCATTGTCAAAGCGTAAAATGCACTTAATCGATCAGAAATTTCAATTGGCGCGTTGTGTAGGTCGGCCTCATGCTGATCGATTTTTCTCCCCTCTCGCTGCCTCGACCTCTCGGGCGATGGTTGAGGGGTGTTTGGTCTGCGTGCTTTGTGAGTCACTGCTTCGTCGGGTGGTCGGTCTGCTGGTTCTTCCTCGCCGAGTAGATTCGCCGTCGGTCTGTCTTTGTATGACCTTATTAAATCCAGTGTGGTTACTTGGTCCTGAGCTCGCCTACAAGAGCCCAAATCGGCAACTCGGAGGTTAGACCCTAACTGTCAACTATTAACACACGTTGAAGAAACTGGGCGTAATTTCGATCGTCAGAGAACTACCATTTTAGGCCGGGGCAACACAAAAGCAGAATGGTAAACCCTTGAGGCGGAATTCTTCGAAGCCCACTCCATCAACAGGCATCTGGACCTTCCTGCAGTTTACAAAGTCCTACGTCATCACAATCGTAGAGCTCAGGACCAAAAAACCACACCGGACTTAAAAAGGCCATACGGAGACAGCCCGACGGCGAGTGTATTCGGTGAGGAAGAACAAGAACCGCCAGACCGACCGCCAGACAAAGGTTCAATCACCTCCCCTCGACGGAGTGGTGACTCAAAAAGCACGCAGATAAAACACCCGTGAAACATCCCCCGAGAGGCCGAGACAGCGAGAGGAGAGAAAAATCGATAAGCATGAGGCCGACCAACACAACATGCCACTCGAAATTTCTAGTCGATTAAGTGCATGTTACGCTTTGACAATGGAGGTCCGACCAAGCTCTTTGAAGCGTCGGCATCCAAACAAACCTGTTCCGGTGAGTCCATCTTCTTCTTCTTCTTCTTCTTCTTCTTCTTCTTCTTCTTTTTCAAATTATTTGGTCTGCAAAACTTCTCCAAAGTAGTTCGGACGTCTCCGAGAGACCACAGCCGCGAAATCACATGTTAGTTACTTAATGGGACTCAAGTGGAGGAATTAAAAAATAGTCCTATAGTCCGAATGAGAACGCCTACGAAGCAAGTGATTACCCTCTCATCAAAATCCTCATTTGGAGTGGTCGTTGCGACAGAGGACGTTGTCAAGGCTAACACCCACACACACACACACACGACAGTTCGACCATCGATTTCGACTATGTCCACCGTGTGCTCCACAGACTGCATTGTGGAGCAGGGACGGTGACTTACGCAGGGGCTTATAGTGCCAGTAGACTTGCGTAGCATCTACCTACACTCTCTCCACCTCTCCCGCCTGAGCCCGGTGTCAAGACCAAGTCAAGAAGACCGGCGACGGGGGAGGCCGCAGGTGGATGGCTCGGACGGATCCTCACCTTTGTGTTCCACCACACCCCCTGGTCCACACAACAATAACCAGGATTTCAACCAACACAACAGAGATTTGGGGGCTGGCACGGCCGAAGCCGCACCTAGGCGTGCCGCCGACGCCTGGCTCGGATCCCACACTGTGGTGGGAGTGCCATAAAGGCCACATTAAAAAGGAGCCATTGCAGCCTGACTGTCAGACAGCCTCCCGTGAAAGAGGAGGTCCAAGGTACCCCGTCAGTTGGCAACCTTCCAAGCCACGGCTTTTAGCGCACCGTGATAGCTTCAAGCGCGTCAGATTGATTATAGTGAGGAAAATGCGCTGAGTCGTCGACCTCACTGTCCCTTCCCATCCCACACCCCAGCCACTGTCCGAGCCGGTCAGCAGACTGGAGTGGGAAATGGGCGCGCTGGTTGGCACGGTCGACTGACCATGACTGCGCGCGCCACGTGCACGACCTGGCCCCCATACACACACAAACACCAGGATTTCACACAACGGGGGTTGAACGGCGTGTCTCTCTCTCTCTCTCTCTCTCACACACACACACACCGAGGTAGCAAAGCACTGGAATTAGATCCTGGCTAAGGCCAATCTGAATGGAGTCGTTAACACGTCACAATGCTCATCCATGCGAAAGGGAAGAAGAAATAGTAGGTGGGCATAAAGGCATAAGAAGAAAAGATTGAAACTGGGGGATGCATATAATAGTGGTCACTTGTACAAACGAGATTAGTTGCAGCAAGAAAATTACCTGTCTGGATGGCGAGTTGACGCTGACATGCCTACTGAACAACCGGCGGTGAACTCAGGGGGGGGGGGTCGAGGAGGTCGCCGCCGTAAAGAAAGAGAGAAAAGTGAACCATAGATTTTTTGGCAGATTTCTGAATAATTCGTATTGACCCAACTGTGAAACACTCGGCGCCCGGTGAAATACGAACCCACACAGTAAAAGAAAGGCTTCAGTACAGACAACGCTCTACCCACTTAAGCTACGAGGCCCCGCCAGACGGCGCGATTTTAATCATATTTGGGTCAAGTTACTCGCCCAACCTACTGCTACGTCTGGAATCCATCAAATATGATACAGTAGGTTGACTGCCCAAGCAGGATTTCCTAAGTAATTCACCTAGAATCCACCAGATGACTACCAAGCTCACGAAATTCATAGATGCTTTGGCAGATTTTTGAATAATTCATATTGACCCAATTGTGAAAAACTCGGCGCCTCGGTGGGATTAAACTCGCGTCGTCCGGCGGTGCCTCGTAGCTCAAGTTTTTAGAGCGTTGGCTGTACAAAAAGCCCTTTCCTTACTGCGCGGGTTCGAATCCCACTAAGGCGCCGAGTTTTCCACAATTGCGTCAATATGAATATGAAGAAAAGTTAACGTTACGATGAGTTTTGGGAAGGAGGTCGGCGGTAGAGGAAGGGAAGGCATTGGGCATTTTCACCAACGCGTAGCTAAATCTTCACCATCCTAGGTTCGCGCAGGAAGTGACGCCTCATTTAAACAACTCTAAACAGTTAGTGGGGCGTTACATGGCTACTTAAACAACCAGTGCGATGACCTCTACAGAGCCCACTGACCTTGAGCAATCGGAGGACGAAGATGAACTGTTTTTAGATCGGTGTGTGTATTTAGCCCCGGTGGCCGGGTAGCCCGAGTAAATGTACTGAACCAACAGAGGGACAGATAGGGTTCCGGAAATCGTAAGTGGTGATGGGCACTCTTAACAAATGACAATATCGGGGGGGGGGTGGTGGGACGCCCAGGTGCAGGCTCCCGCCAAGCCAACTGGTATCCGAGTCAACCTCTTTTTTCTTGGCCAGCTTACTGTATGGACCAGAGAGTGTGGTGGTACTCCTAAGTGCGGGTTTTCGTCGCGCCAGCCACCTGCGCCCTCCCCCCCACCTCCATTCTTCTCGGCTTTGTCATGCCAGGTTTGGGAGGAGGCAAGACTGCCTAGATGCCGCGTAAGTCCGCTATCATCACAAAAGAAATCACGCTCAAGTCACTGTCCCCGTTCTCACCCTACTCTAGAGTACACGCGGGGCATCGACGGTTACAACAGTCGAACTGTGGCGTGTGAAGTGGCTGACTGGTGGCCCGTGAGTCAGACTTCAATGGCTCTTTCTCCATGGGACCTATATGACGCTCCCACTGAGCTGACATTCAACACTTTTCTCTGAAAATCTGGTCAATTGTAATTGGACCAGAGGATGCGTGTCGCTCGTAGATGGGCCGTTTAGGTCTGTCAGTCGCCGCTACCGTGGAGTGGAGGGAGGAGAGAGTGTGATAAATGCTCCGCAGGTCTGCACAATTTACCGTTTTGCCCCACCACGCTGAGGTGGACACGGTGGACATCGTCACCCGCGACGGTCGAACTGACACACAGTAGATGTGCTAACTCATGAAATGTCAACCAAAATTTCGAAATGCGTTCTCGTTTCGAAAAGATAAATTAAGTGGTGTTGTAAAATTAATCATCGTGCAGCATAAATCTATAATGGTCCAGTTACCTCAGGGTGTCGGCTTTCAAAAGAACTTATTTTCGGCTGAATGCAAGATCTATACTCTGTAAAAAATGACTGCTTATGTGGCATACATTTTTCTCATTGCTTTTCGATGCCCTTAAAAATTCAATTATATTTCATGGAAAACATGCATATAAATATTCATTCTTTTATTTATTCAGTAGAAAATCACGTCTTCTTCCAATTTCATACTCAAAAGAAGAGTGCAATTCGGTTCATGAAACGTCATGTATCTGCATTTACGAACGTGGCTTGTAAAGTCAACAATATTGCTCAAATCCACTGCTTAATTTTATGAACCTCATATGGTCTCCTCTTAACACCGTAGAGAAATGCATGGTCTTCCGTACACGGAAAATATACAGCTTGAAGTTTTGAAACCCTGAATGCAAGTGTAACAGCAGGTCGGGTTCAAAATTATTCGGGAATTAGAAAAGTTTTTTAAAACCGAATTATACTCCTCTTCTGAGTATGCAATTGGAAGAAGACGTGATTTTCTACTGAATAAGTAAAAGAATGAATATTTTTATGCATGTTTTCCATGAAATATAATTGAATTTTCAAGAGCATCGAAAACCAATTAGAAAGTTGCATGCTACTTAAGTAGTCATTTTTTGCAAAGTATAGATCTTGCATGCAGCCGAAAATACGTTCTTTCGAAAGCCGACACCCGGAGGTAACTGGATCATTATAGATTTATGCTGCATCATGAATAGTTTTACAACACTACTTAATTTATCTTTTCGAAACGAGAACGCATTTCGAAATTTTGGTTAACATTTCATGAGTTAGCACATCTACTGTATATATTCACCCATCGCGGTTCGAACTATTGGTGGGTCAGCTGAATATATGAAAAGGTGCTTTGATGCAATGAAAACGGCGCTCCCAACAGTTGACTAGTATTGCCATCTTACAGGGAATTCAATTCAAGAATTGGTTAAGGCCACAGTGTACTTCATTCAACCACCGTCAGTAATAGACCCCAGTTGCCGTTCAACGGTCAAATTTACGAGCAAATCCAGGGAGTCCCAATGGGGTCCCCAATCTCCGACTACCTGGCTGAGGCGGTCTTGCAGGAACTGGAAACTCGGGTCTTCCAGACCTACAAGCCGAAATTTTGGATGCGCTACGTAGACGACACCTTTGTCATTCTACACCGAGACGCGAAAGAGAACTTTAAAAAGGAATTGGACTCGGTTATTCCATAAATCCAATTTACCATGGAGAAAGCAAATAACGAAGGGCACCCTTTCCTCGACGTCCAGTCATCGAGGCAGGAAAACGGAACCCTCCAGACTGGTGTACTTCGAAAGGCGACAGACACGGATAAAATTCCTCATTACAACAGCAACCATCCCCTGTCGCATAAGCGCCGTTGTGTCCGGACACTTTTTCGCCGCATCCACACACACACACTGCAGCACAGGTTAGACGACTTTTCCTCGGAGGTCGGCCAGGAATTGTGTCACTTTATTCGGATAAGTACAAAAAGGTTTTCCCATAGGACCAAGACCGGGACTGTTGTCAGGAATAAAAATAACTTGGATTAAATTGTGTTTTTATGTGTTTTTTTATTTTCAAACTCGTTCTCAGTAAAAAATCTGCCCATCTTCGCGGCTGCGGTGACTGCCTTCTGTTGTGGTTTTCTCCTACCCATGCTATGGTCCGGCTGTCGGTCAAGCCAACTCTCCGAGGACGAGGAGAGAGTGGTGTGGCTACGTATGCAGGATGTGGACTGTCCACTCACTCCCTGGCCAGAGATCTATTCCCAGTAAGTCGCCATTGCTGCCAGGGGTACTCATTCACATTATAAGTCGCAGCTAGTTGAAAAACTGAAGTGTTTTCTTGGCATCTGCCATGTCTTTCTCGGTGACCTTGACCTTACAAACGTCGAAGATGTGACCGCGTCCCACCGTATGAACTGTGACTTAGGAAGTTAAGTGATTTCTTGACGCGACGGTTGCATGTTCGGTCATCCGAGTCTCGAGTAATCTGTCGCTTTCTCTGTGCAGTTGTTTGCCCGCGGATATCCAAACAATCGCCAAATCAAGTACGACAATCGGCGATGAGTGCGGGAGCTTATGGTTGCATTGCAATCGCATCCTGTATTCACTGAACACCCTGTGCCTTCATCACTCCCATCTGTAGCTGCCCCTGATGGTGGGTTGGAGCAAGATGCCGAAATGTCATAAGAAAAATAATCTTTCCAGCGATTCCATCTTCTTTCACACTATTCCCTGGAATTCGCCCCTTCGATTTTATCTGGATGTAAACTCTTAACGGTGAATAGGCGGGGTGGGGGTGATTGTGTAAGGTAATTAACAAGTGACTTGAGAAACATGACCCAGGTAGCCCGAGGCCCACACAATTGTCGCCTTGAAAGTGTGACCGGTCCCCATCGAATGGGTCACGAACTGAGGACTCCGGTCATTTTTTCCATTGCTGCAGTGTGTTCGGTCATGAGTTCGCTTTCTGGCCTGTGATCTACGCCAGGTGAGCCACTGAGTTTAGTAGGTTGCAATCAAAATGGGAAAAAATCGCCTGTATCGGTGTTAGATTTTTTGAAAGTAGCAATAAAAATTGGTGTCATTTAGAATAGATTTTCACTTGCAAACGAACGTGCGAGTAAGAAATGTCGGATAAATAAACAATTGGTCCCAACGACCGCATCCCCGTTTTATTCTAGTCAGTTGCCTTGGCCGAGCATATCTTCTATCATTCAGAACACTTGTTTTGCCGGTATGTATATACACGCGGGACATTTCCGAAGCGAACGCCCGGCAACTAAACCGGTTTGGCATTTCCATTGCTCACACGCCTGCGTCCTCCATACGCACAGCATTATCCTTACAAAAAGACTTCATACACAAGAAACTTCCGTCGAGGTCTTTAAGAAGAAACTGGATTTGTATAGCAGTGCCCACTAAATTACCACCCGACATCTGTAATCTTGACATATACTGTTGTTATAATACTGCTTGCTATATTTCAGTAACATTTTAAAAGTCAATTTCTTATTGTCTTCAAACCATCGCCTACGTTTTATAGCATGCACCTATGCTACTTTTGTCACCCTGCACTCGAAACGACCACTGTACTACTTCTCGTACCACTAACACTCGAGACAGTTAGTTTAGCGGTACAAAGTTGACGCTTTTCCGATTATTTGTTACCTTTATGATACCTTTTCCGGTTTTTGAGATTTTTCAGTTGCTTGTAAACAAAGGGAGTTCAAAGGTGAAGCCTAAATTTCCCTCAATAAAACTGGACTGAAACTAATGTCGTCTACCGCATTCCGTGTGCTAACTGCTCTTGCAATTATGCTGGTCATACAGGTCGACGATTTAGGACGCACATAAACGAACATAATCTAGCCATCTGTTGACACGAAGCCTTTGGCACCAGTGTATGCGCACGCCCTGGAGTAAGACTATGGCTTCAATTGGGAAGGTATCGAAGTTGTTTCCATCCCTAACACCAAACAGGTGCCAGAATTCCTAGAAGTCTGACACTACCGCGGCCAGCATCAATCACCATGTCGATCTAGACGCTCATTACGAAGGTCTGCGTACCTGGCTCACTGACTTGCGCCTACGACCTAATAACGGTCGTTAATCTATACTGGGTCATGAAGAACCTAACTTTTTCGCCACCTCCTCCTCTTCCTCCTCCAGACACAGCGAACCTCAACTGCAATCCCTAACACCTCCAACATTAGCGCACTGACCTCTGCCCTCATGCCCGATCAACTACCACCAAGTCCACTGTCTGCAGTCCCATTGAATTGCCATCCCCCTACCTTCCAATCTAAGGAGTCGCAACTATTCCCTCTTCCCTATTCAGCTCAAGATCCTAGCTTACTTATGTGCCAACCCCTTTCGCACACTAATTGCTTGCCTGTCGGTGGCTGTCCTTTAGCCCCAACCAGTTTAGTCTGGTAATTTCACTTCCTCCTCTGTTTATTTCGTCTCGAAAATTCGGGAGTACAACTCGACTTTTTCCGACGAGCCTTCTACCTTCAACACATATACAAATTCCCGAATTTTTAAAATAAGTTATATTCTCTGAAGCCAAAATAACCTTTATTGTGTGGGTTTTCGAGACTGGTTTCCCAACTCATCGTCAGACTTACGGATTATGTACAAAAACTGTAGAATTTTTGGTAAATTGAGTCACGCGTATAAACCAAAACAGATTTCGGTGTATATACGTGTGACTCAATTTACCAAGAATTCTACAGTAATCAGAAGACGAGGTGGCGAACATACGTAGCTTTCGATAAATTCTCGTCGAGCCAGTACAGTTATATAGGAACGGGGTAGAAGTAAAACATGTCAGCGATAAGAGAAATCGATAAAGGTTCTCCTTAAAACACAGGCGGGGTGTGGAACTGTGGGGGAGGGGGGGAGTAGGGGAGAGGGGGTAATAGTAGCCTGATCTAACGGATTATTGAAATGACTATAAATATACTACTAACATGATTTCAACAGATCCTATTTTTTGCGTCAAACTTAGCCCATATTGAAATTTTCACAGTCCGAATGCGGTGAACAAAGTTTTTCGCAATTATTTTGCGAATATAATACCCCTTTCACCTTTATGTTACATTGTTAGATTTATGAATTCTCCCTACCAAAACTGCAAGCAAACGCTTTGCAATTTAACTATTTTACTTTATACCTGTACCCTCTAAATGGAGTTTTCATGGCTTCTGTCGTTTACTCCAAATATACTGACTGATACTGACTGATAGTCACTGTCAGGGGTGAGGTGAGAGCGAAAGTTCGCGGGGGGGAGTCGCACCGTTAGTCAACCTTCGACCACTGCAGGCGCGGAGCCTGAACGTGGTTCGTCTGTGCGCATAAGTTTGGCTTTCGTAACCTAATGGCGGCCGCTTCCGCTTTCGCTAATAGGCGCTGGCCTAGTAGCTTAGGGTAGCTCGGTGGGACCTTATAAATCACAAGAAAAGCTTCGGTGGGGTCCACACGATGTCCGGAATCGACAACATGCGCGAGAATGGCGCTGCTTATACTCCTCGTTTCGCCTTTTCCCAGTCATGCCGAGAGGTGTTCGCGTATTCTCTTGGATAAGCGCCTACTCGTGCGACCAATATAACCCGCTCCACAGGAGCAAGTGAAGGAATATATGCACATTGAGGTGGTCTGCGGTGGAAACTTATCCTTACCTTCGCGTAAAATAGGGTTAGTAGAGAATGATACTTGAATCCTTGCTGCTGAGAAGGTTCGCGAGACAGCTTGATCAACGTGTCTCCTTAGGAGTTCACTCGTCGCGTCCCCTTGGAAAGGGACTTTGAGGAACAAAGTTTTCTTTTCAGCGGTCGGTGTGGCGAGTTTGGTTGGTCTTTTGGCAATGTTTTTTGCAATGAACCTGTCAGGATACCCGTTTTCTCGAAGGAAGTCCTGAACTTTTCTGAGCTCTTCCTCGATGCTATCTGTCGAGCAAATTTTTCTAGCTCTTTGTGCCAAACATCGGACTAGATTTCGTGTTTGCTGGAGGGGTACGAAACTGGCAAAGTTCGTGTATTGTCCAGACCAGGTTTTCTTCCGATAGACGCTTCTTCGGACATTGCCGTCAGGTCTCCTGCTTAGAAGAACATCTAAGAAAGGGAGCGAACCGGCCGTTTCGATCTCCAGCGTGAATTTGATCGACGGATGTGCCTGATTTGCCGCATCTAAGAGGGTAGCTACGACAGTTTCTGCAGTGGCAATTGTAAAGATATCATCAACATAGCGACCGTAATGTTTAAGCTTATCGATTTGATCGCTTAGTTGGAATCTCTCTAATTTGACCATGAAGACATCTGCTAGGAGAGGTCCAAGGGATGAGACCATGGCAACGCCGTCTACTTGTCTATAGATTTGGTTGTCGAACAGGAACTGCACATTTAATGCGCATTTTAATAATAGTTCCTTGAGTTTCTTCGTCGGAATTCCTATTTCCTGCTGACTGGCAGATAGAAAATCACAGATTTAACCAACTGTCTCGGTGACCGAAACGTTTGTAAAAAGTGATAAGACGTCTAGCGAGAACATTACCATGCCGTTGACTTTAAGGTCTTTGATGTCGTCAATGAATTCAAAGGTATCTCGGTAGCTCCGTGCTGTTAGCTGACGCTGTAGGGGCTTGAGTTTCTCCACTAGCCACTTTGCTATCGCATGATACGGACAGTTTCGCATGTCAAAGATCGGACGGACTGGCAGGCCTTCCTTATGGATCTTAGGTAGACCATATAGTCGAGAGATATGTGTGCCGACTGGTCGGAGGTGTTCGAGGTCACGGTCGCTTGTGTGACCCCCTGTGTGGAGCCTTCTTAGAAAGTCAGTCAGTTTCGTCTCTATTTCTTCCGTGCAATCATTTTCTTTGTCTACCTTCCTGAATTTCTTCTGGTCTGATAATACGGATTGTATCTTTGCTACGTAGTCCGATCTGTTCATTATAACGACGCCTGTTCCTCTGTCCGATCTATTTACCAAGATATCTTTGTTCTTTCGAAGTTCATTTAATTTTTTCACATGTGCTTTTGTCAGCAATCCCCGACTTTTTGGCCCCTTGTTCAGGTACTGATAACTGCAATTCACCAATGTTGATTTAAAGTGTTGGATACTGTCTGTGAAAGTGGGAACTAGGTCATAGGTTTGGTTCCATAGGTTCTCGAACTGAGTTTCCAATTCTAACAGATTAACTTTTCGACGAGGTATGCAAAACTTAGGACCAAGGGATAATGCGTCAAGTGACGTTTTATCAAGTTTCATATTAGGGTGGTTGTGTACGTACCGACTTGGATCTCTTGGATCTTTCTACAGTACCCAACAATGGATACCTAGACAAAGAATTTCTTTGTTACTGTTCTAGCAAATCGAATTTGCAGCTCAAGGTAAGAGTACAAATTTAGTTAAGTAAAAGAACGCCGACCACGTTCTAAAGAGGGTTACAAAAAGTGGAAAGAGGAATGTCAAGAGGGACCAAATGTGGAAGCACTTAGGAGGAGGACATGGAGAATTCCAAGCGGTGACCAGCTGGATCCATAAAAACAGTTAATGCTTTAATCATGTTGGACAAATTATTCTGCGGTTGTCTAAAGCCCGTGCTAAGGTGCGCCAATTACAATCCGTCATCCCTTCGACATTGGCTACGCTCGCTACCATTTGTCCTTGAGAAATTTTTACACAGCATCTTAGTCGACGTGCCGATTGACGCATGCATTTCTTCCACGAATTCACGGCAGGTTCAGGCAACGAGTCGACGCCTGGCAGCTGTGACAATGAGCTCAAACTAGCTGTCTGTCGCCGAGACACCCTGCCCATCGTCTTCGCACTTGTGTGCAACCACCGATTCGCTTGGTACTCCAACTGATCCTAAACATCTCGGGCACGAGGTTCCGACAAAGTGCTTAACACACTTCACACTCACGACTAGAATTGGCAATTTAAACGTAGTAGTTTAATATTTTGCAGCACAACTTCCTTATTTCACCCATATCAAGTTAATATTAGTATACCAGCGTGGTGGGTGATTCTAGTAACCATTGTCCTTCGTGATATACTCCACATAAGTTGCCTTCTATCTATTTATAAGTAACAGTAATTAAGGAACTTATTTTATTGCCTTGTCCCAGCCTTCTTGACATGCAGTTCTCAACGCGACTGAGTGAAGGCCGGCCCTCGCTAGCGGAGGTCCGGAGGGCATTAAAAAGTGCCAGGAGAGCAACCATTGCCTGCTTCATTGGCTGCATGCTCTGGTGTTTCTTGACCTGGCCGCTGCTTTCCTTCATCTCGGAAACTCTCACATACGACCAGTTTTTTCTCTGGGTACGTATACTCCAGCATTTCCTCAGCTTTTTCCTCGGAGCGAAGACAACTCAGAGGCACGAATTTTTTTTTAAATGTTTAAAATCCCGCTACTGCCTCCTTGTCTACTTGCTCATTTATTGCAGTTCTAAGATGCGACTGTCTTTGCTACGTACAGCAGTCGGGGTAATATTGCTGACAAAGAAAAGGGAGACTGGAGTGGTCATTTCTGACTTATTAGCCGTCTTCAGCCAGTCAAACCCAGCCCCAACGCGTGGAACACCCGAAGTTGGATCCCGAGACCTCTTGGTTAGAAGTTCAACGCCTCTAATTACTGAGTCACGGGCTTTTTGTCCTGTCGGTTGCGACTGGAAACATACAATGGTAGAGGGGACGCTCACTGTATACCACGGAACTCGCTCGTCCCGTTGTGCCTTACGGGCTCTCTCTCTCGAGCACAAGCAGCAGCATCACAGGTGCGCGTAATAAAGGCAGAGTAATATTACCCTTGGGCTTGACTGGCTGGCGACGGCTATTAGGCCAGAAATGGCTATTCCAGTCTCCCTTGTCTTTGTCGACAATAACATACACGTAAGTTCGCCGCGGGGAAAGCGCTAGTGATCGCTGTCTTCAGACGTCTTCTTACTAGGTCACTTGCTGCGTCCCCTTGAAAAGACAGTCTTATAAATAAGTCTTTCTTTTCTACAGTTACCATGGTAGGCTTTGCAGTGCGCTCCCCTATATTTCGGAGGCTGAATCTTTCTGGGTATCCGTTTTCCTGGAGTATATCCCACAGCTGCTGGAGTTCTGCCTCAACAGTCTCAGAAGAGCAGATACGTCACACTCTAGCTGCCAATCCCTGGACCAAATTGCGTTTAATATTTAAAGGAACAAAACTGTGAAAATTCATGCATTGTCCCGTCCTGGTTTTCTTTCGGAATACCCTACGGTGGATAGATCCATCCTCATGTCTGTGAAGAAGAACATTGAGGAACGAAAGAAAATAAAAACAGACTGCTTCAGTTTCACTCAGTTTCTTTGTTAAAATATCTCATCAGTGATCGTTTTTTGCCATGTTCCCATCCGTGGTTAAGACCCACGACATTACGTCTGTGTTCATCTCTCTAATCAGGCGTGGCTGGTGAAAGCCACTCCTATGGGACTTAGCTGACACCGTTGTGTCGATCGGAAAATGCTTATCCAAACGGCAGAATTTTGCGTTAGTAAGTTAGTTAGTTAGCTGCATAGACTGAAAAATAAATTTCTCACGAGGATGTCCATTTAGAAAGCCGGAATTTATCTCATTTTGTCGATTTTATTTGGTGATGATGATAGGTCATACCTTTGAAAACCCCATTGTACACAACTAGTGCGTTACTTTGTCACTGGTATTCTTTTAAAAGTCACTATTAAAATAGTACTCACTAAATGTTAGTAACATTAATTTTAAAGGAACTCTGTACGGCACTGATGTGGTATTTTGTCCGGGTTCAGATAGTCGAGGAAAAAAGGGACATCTCTAATTATCCAGGCGTTTCTTGAAGACCTGGAGGGACTCACCTCTAAGATTAATTGAGGTAGATCATTCCGTTGTTTTACTACCTGTTGTATGAAGACATCAGAACGGCGATTCAGTCTGGACATTTTCGTGCGCAGCTACGTAGATTGTCCAAAAAGATGAGGCGAGAGGTGCTACTGAAACATGTCCTCACAGTGCACTCCTTGCCCAAGGCCGTGTATTATCTTGTAAACTAAGATAGTATCACCTCCTTCTTGCCTGTAATACAGAGGGAATAGACTAAGGCATTCCAGTCTCTCTATATATGGATTGTATTTTAGACCTCTGAGTAGGTTTTTTTGTTGTCGCCACGCTTGTATGCCATATTCCAGCTGAAGTCAAAAGAAGATGTTATGAACTTTTCCAAAGAGATTTTTTTATAGCGCGCAGTACTCCTACGAAGTTTTCTGCAACATTGACGCATCGAAATGATGGCTTCAGATTGCCCTGTACCCAAACACCGAGGTCCGTCTACGAAGATTCTGGGGGAATTTGAGTGCCTTTCAGATAATATGCCCCAATGTTGTCGAAGATGGAGGACGGCAGCTTTTACACATTGAATTTCAGGAGACATCTCTAGGACCACGTGTGTAGTCTCCGTAGATCATGTTGAAGGACTTTCTGATTGTTCAGGCCCTTAATGACTTTCCAGAGCCTAACGTCTCTGACAAATATCACCTTGCCGCAATCCGGTTCCCCGAAGGCTGTCATTAACTCAAAGGATGAAGAGAAAGGGACGGAGAACGGAACCCTGAGAAACACCACCGGTCACATCCACCCAGTCCGATTTAGCCTTTCCGACATAGACGTGTTGTCGTCGACCAATCAGAAATGCCTTTATCCAGTTCAGAAGTTCTCTCCTGATACCGAGGGCGCTCAGTTTACATAAAACGCCTTGACCGGGAACACTGTCATAAACTTTGCGGAAATCAATATACAACACATCTACTTCGAAGTCATCTGCTTAAGCAGCGGTCCAGATCTCAAATGAAGGTAGCAGGTTTGAGAGGTGGGAACGCTGCCGCTGAAAAAAAACCGTAAGAGGCCATTTTCACCACAAAATTACAGCATTACACGCTTCCCGTGGACGTCCATTGTTTTGAGGGAAAGGCAAGTCAAGCTTGTAGGCCTAAGGCTGCTTTCCGGTATCTTGGCAGCCTTCCAATGAGAAAGCAAACTCCCGATTCTCGTTGATATCTCAAGGGGAGATGAAAGAGGTGTTGTGAGCTCTGCCGATAGTTCCTTAAGTGTCAGTCCAGGAATCCAATCCGATCCAGAAGACTTGTCTGACTTAATTTGACCGAGGAGCCGCCTTGTTTCTTCGACGGAAAATGCAATGGTTTAAGTGGCGGCAATATCCTGGCCCATTTCAAATTCGGATTGTCTTCGGGTGATCCCACCGTACACACCGATCGAAAAAACGGGAACAATAGTTGTATTTTCCGCGGTCCTTCAGTTAATACGTTTCCGAGCACTTCCTTTGCGCTCACAGCTTCGTTCCGGCGCTCACTTTATGCTTTCAAAGTTGTTATTTATTACCATAGATAGTGGATCTATGTAGCGGTGTCGGTTGGCCAGTGATTGGCAATCGTTCGCAAATTTCGACACATTTCATGAGTTAGGCCACGTACTGTACAAAAAATCTGCTTCGAATCCATCTTTTAAAGCATTGGTGCCGATCTTAAGGGAAGCCATTTCCGCCACAAAAGTGTACCCAAAACACTTATTGGGACGTATTAACGCCTCTGCTGTTAGTTGACACTCAAAGACGGTTCTAGCAATCCGTATCTTCTGACGGTATTCATTTCGTTTTTCTTTATACTCGGCAAATGATATGGGATCTTGAAGATGCAAGTACTTTTCCACTGTCTCTGTTGCTTCAACAACGAGGAGACCACTTCGAAAAAAAGACGCTGCTTTTTTCATCCGGGGTTCTCTAACGTCGATATTTGGACAAACACCTCTTTAAATAAGCGTTACTTGAAACGGCATATGCTTGGATCCAGCCTTCCTGAGGCCTACAGACAGGCCACCCAATAATAGCTTTGAATTTCTGTAATAAGTATCAGGAGACGGGAGCGTAAGCGACTAGACCATCGGAAGTTGTCATTCAGTCGGCGTGTGGTTCGACCACGGAACTCACTCCAACGTGAAATAGCGACATCTGACACAATGGTTGTAGTCAAAAGACAGTTGGATCGTTTGATCTTTGATAAACGACAACTCTCTCTGCGGAACTGTCTGCGACCAACCATGAACATTATTTCCAGATTTCACTCCCTATAATACACATCCCTGTAACATTCGCAGTTCTTAACCGCATAAATGTTTTGTAAACAAATATATTACTAGCAAAATTCTAGTAACATGTGTGTCTAACATGAATTTTACATGCACTGTTTTCAATAGGGTCATCAAGGACATTGCCTATTACCCTAAATGTGCTATCCTGCTACATAGTCATGCCCACTCTCAGCCGCCTTCTGGCTGTTTGTGAATGCAGAAATTCAGGGCTTGACGACACGAATAATCCCAGCACACTGTATGTCATTCTCATGTAGCATCCGTATCACCTTGTAGCTCACGACAAATCGACTGGCTAATATCCTGGGCTTGTTCTTCTGCGGCCTGACGCCCGTCGCTCTGGCAGTCGCAAAAGACCTCAGCAGAGAACGTGAGGTCAAACACAAGAAGGCCATCCTTGTCAGAGCCTCATCCACGCCGAAGGTTCCGTGGACACAGAAGATGAGGGAAATCCTCTCGTGAGTCCTGTATTTCATGCATGTACATGTATCCAGCAGCTACACCGGCATCTGTCTTAGCCCCGAAACTGCAGATTAGTTATTTCTTTGATGTCATGACGTCCTACTCAAATAGGCCTAGTAGGATTATACGTATGCATGTAATATTTCCAACGCTGTGCCCCGTTAGTGAACCGTTGGAGACACTGGACCCCGCCTGGCGTTGAAATACGGCCGACCGAGGGCGATGAAGAGGTCAGAAACGGTAGCTCCAAACTCCCTCGCTTCAACTGATAAAACCTTTTGATCAATGACGACACAGTGTTGTGCGACAGGATGTGGCGGTTTCTCCGGACTGTAGTAAGACGTCCATATTGCGTTCGGCCATAAGGATAGATTGGTGAATTTTGAAAATGGACCTCTTCTTTATCAGAAACTTGCATAGATACTGAACAAATGGCAAACAACCGTACGCGAAATACTCCAATTACGCTAGGGCCATAATTAACTTTTCAATAATTCAACGCACTGATATCGATAAATTATTAGTTCAAACGGTCAAGAGAAGCCAAAACAAGCGAAAAAGTGAGTCCCCAGAAGCCGTTGAAAGGGACCCTGCCAAGACGTGGTCCAATCTTACCATTGGTCCATGGTTGGGCTGGGTGTAGCCCTGGCCAATCCTCATTCCGGATTAATGCGGAAACAGTTCCTGGTTTCGAATTATGCATTTAACTGCTAAGATGAAATCTATTATGAGTAAACTACATAAAATTAAGTATATAAAGTAGCCCTCATCATCTAAGCGTCCCGTCGTGATGGCATGCCTTAACTTCATCCTAGCTGTACCCATACTATGGTACGTAATCTATTGCCTTTCTGATGTGTGATATTACCGTCTGTGTTAATTACGAAAATGGGAAAGCGTTAAAAGGCGAGTCAATTGGGCCAATTGGGTCATATCCACTCTTGCCACACCGTGCCCCAACCATATAGACCAACCCAGCCCAATTGGGCTGGGTTGGGCGGGTACTGGCAGGGGAGGAACCATCACCGAAAAAAGAGTTTTCATCGCCCTCTCTAACTAGCCTTGGCACATGTTTTAAAGTTTTCGCCTAGGCCCTGGCAATTACTGCTCCAGATCGACTGACAAACAACGGCATGGGAAACCGTTGTGGTTGAGGAATTTTGGATGAAAGCAGACACTCAGCCGCAATTTGGTCCTTGGAGAGACAGTTTATCCTAAACCCCCTGAAAACTACTTTCGCTATCTAGTTGACGAGTTTCCCACCTTCAGTTAAAGATCCCATCGAACGGATCGAATAACTTCTCCAAAAAAGAAAGATTGGACAAGGTCCCTTAGTAGCATTGAATAGCTACCCGATGCACTCTTATCGCGGAAATCTCGCGATTGGTCTATCTCGTCACCGGATTGGACAGCGCGTTTATCGATTTTCCACAATCATTGGTTGGCGCGCTTGAGTTATCAATGATCTCACGCCGCATGCTCGTCGCCACTATTGCGTGCGTATCGCGTGCGGTGTGTGCTATCAAGTGCTCTCTGCTTCCCTCTGTTATACCCTTATTTGATTCATTAACCCATCTGTTTTTTATGTTTAACATGTATAGGTACGAATGTAAACACACTATTAGGCGGCATGTGAAGAAGAAAATCGAGGAAATGTCAAGAGAAATAGCTGCAGAAGTGGATCTGCTATTTGGCGGCAGCAAGCGTTATCGAGCGGACTGTTCAGACCGGGAGTCGTCCACTGGTAACTCAGTGGACGTTGGCAGTGGGAGCCTTAGCCCGCCAACGTCATTGTTAGGAGATCTGGCATCTGCTGACAGTGTTGCTTGGGCGGACACTGTCATCCATAATGATGACGTGCCACTAAATGAACGCATAAGGACATGGCTGCGTGATTGGGCTTTTCAGTGCCATATTCCGCACTGTCATTTACGAAGTCTGTTAGACGTAGTGCGGATGGCAGTCCCACAGTTTCCCGAAGACCCTCGCACACTATTGGGGGCATCGTATAACTTGCAAGTAGTCCCCAGGTGTTGTGGGGAGTACGTTCATGTTGGGCAGCAGAAGCCACTACGCAGGTTTGTTGATAGTGAATTCGTAGTCGCAGACAATGAAAAGATAGTTCTGAATCTAGCTGATCAGCGTTGTAAAGGAAGCAAGACTTATTGATATAATCGAATCTCGCGACACCTTCCTCTTTGCTCAGTTGGAAAACTGACAAAACCGCCAAGCCTGCTTCAGCTGCTTCCGAGGTCGTGCTCAAAATGGACTAAATCTTTCCTAACCACTTGGGCATTTTCAGCGCACAAATGAGATATTAAGTCTGACGAAATGCGAACTCATAGCGACATTTTGCAGGGTTCTCTTTCAGGCCAGTTGGCAATTTCTACTTCGAACAAACTACTTACCAGAGCTATTTAAAAATGGCCGCCTCCCTCCAATCGATGAAAGAAAAAATCCCAAGTTGAGTCCAATAATGAGGGTCCTAGTTATTAGGGTTATTCAATATACGCAGATATGTAAGCAGAATTAGAAGCTACATATTCGAGCAGTCGAGTGGAGAACACAGCCTCCATATTGCGGATTTATACGAATGGCCTGAAACTCACTAAAGTGGGCAGATTTCACTGCACATCACGGCGACGGCCGTTTCAGGACGTGTGCGCGAAGCAAAAGTGCGTGGCCAGAGAGGGGCTCGAACCCTCGACATTCGCGTTATTAGCACGACGCTCTAACCGACTGAGCTATCCGGCCGACGACTGAGTCGACGAACTTTTGTGTTATATTGAGAAATGACAGACAGGGTGCAGCGCGCAGTCAGGCTTGTAATGCGAGCTATACGTTAGATTTTTCGGTCGCTGAAGTTTCGTAACCCAGTCCGATGTTTTGAAGTATCAAACTCATCAAATGCGCCTCCAGGATGAATGCTTCCTCGTCTTGCTAGAAAGACTGGACTTGATTGCGAGATAAGTCCTTCCTTGTTGTCCTTCAGTTTAGGCACTTTCTTCGTGCCTGGTTTTCAGACTACAATCCATGCCATTCGTATAAGTGGCCGGATGAAATTCGGAGAATTTAGGAGATCTTGCTGAAACAAAGGCGTTCCTGGTCCGCCGTTTGGCCAATCTGGTCTACTGTCGCACACAAAAAATCACTTAGCAATCGCGCTAGGGAGAGAGAGAGAGAGAGAGAGAGAGAGAGAGAGAGAGAGGGAGAGAGAGAGGAAGTCGCTTTATTTTGAAACCATAAGTTCAAAATTTTCAGCTACTCCGATCCCGACATAGGATGGAAGGTACTCACTCCGTCCCTGCCTTGGGGTTTCAAGTTAGGGCCCTCAAGTGCTCGGTGGCTGACTGGTCTGCATTCAAATGCAATTTTTTTCACCTGAAGTCAGGCCTCGGCTGTCAGATGTCGACAAAGAAACCTCAAAGAGCCATTCCTATGGCGCACAAACGCGGTTGTGTTAGAGCCCCCTCCAAAGGGACGAGGACAAAAACCGTTACACCATTTTCGGAACCAATTAGCAAGGCAAGGATACCCAGGCAGATTTACGGACTGGTGCCTCGAACGCGCCTAGGAATGACAAACAGACGAGCCTGTAGGTCTCAAATGGACTGATCCACTCTAAACAGACAAGAGCCTCAGCACTGTGGCCCCCTCTGTCGTATATACGGAATGTGTCAGAAACATCAGAACGCACGGTCGCAGTTTGGTGTGGATGTCGCCCTTGCCGCGACTGTTCGTATCATTATGCAGGCCAGACAGCACGAACACGCAGTCCGCGAATACTCGAGCATAAACGGACTGTTCGTAGAGGTGATGAGCTGTCTCAATTCTTTATTCACACGCTTGAGGAAGGCCAAATATTTGGTCTTGCCAGAGGGTAGGTAATGTCGCGAGCCGGCAATAAGAACGAGGGGGAGGAAGGGAACCGAGGAAGGCCTGGGGGTCTGACCGCACAAACGCCCCCCTCACCCCACCCCTGTTACCGCTCGTGACGTTCACGCGACCAAGTGGCGCGATCCGGTTCCCACCCGAGGACGCACATCTTCACCACACCATGAGATTACCGCACGTTGGCTGGAGTGAACCCAACTCAGTCAGGGACATCAATAGTAGTGAAAATGCGATAACCAGGTGGCATATCAAAAGAAGAAGAGGCGTTCACCGGGAGGGAATTAATTGAACGGAGGCGAGGATAGCCAAAGGAACGGAATGAAGAGCATAGTCAGTCGAACTCGTGGCGGAGCATTCCGTGCATGAAAGAGGTCTCCGAAGCCGTGGCTGGAACCCTCGCGCCACTCGGAATAGGTGTTGCCCACAGGTCTGACTCAACAATCTGTCGGCAAGTGATGCGGCCAAAAGATCCGATCCCTAAGCAGGAGATGTCGGCTGTTGTCTACGGACTTCAGTGCAGCTGCGGAAGGTGCAACTACGTTGGGGAAACCGGCCGACGGCTGCAAACGCGAATGCAGGAGCATAAGTTGGCCATGCGAAGGTTGGACCCAAAGTCGGAGGTAGCAACCCATGCTGCGCAAATGAGACACACCTTTCACTTTGACGCCGTCGAGATCGGAAGTCGTGGAGGTGATCATACGACAAGGCAGGTGCTAGAGGCCTGGATGTCTACCGACTGTTCTGTCAACCGCCACATACATTTGCCTCCCCCATATCTGGTTCTACGGGCACTTTTGACGGGGGACAGTCACGGCGCGGGACAATCGGGGTCGTCAGTCATCTCCGCGGCCGACGGGGGCGATTCAGGTCACGGTGACGTGCGGGTTGGATGCAGCCACACAGGCGGCATTGACGGGTCACGCATTGAACAAAGTGCGCCATATAAGGGGAACTGTGCGCAGGACTTTCCAGTCTCTGAAGATGGGTAGACGAATCAAATACTCAAAATGTCGGACCTCCAATAAACCCCCCTCCCGGTGAACGCCTCTTCTTCTTTTGCCCAGTCAGGGACGCCACCCCTCGTCCCCTCCCGCCACCCTTATGGC